CTCACAAACACAGCGAAACACGTTAGTGTTCATTCACGCTGGTTTTCTGTGAGGCTGTGGTATCATTCCGGTCGAGGTAGCCTATTCGTACCGAAGCATGTCTGTCTCATACTTACAACACAGTAGAACATGTAGGTAGGTATCTTTTAGAGATATTTCTTTTAGAGATCAAAATATCCACATAAATAAAGTATCATCGAATCACTACATAACTACCACCCTTAACCACAATATTATTCGACACACAATATTAAAAAAAAATACAGAACACAGTGACGTCATTATTATCGTACATTTGACGTTGATGACCAACTGGACATTCCGCGGTCGCGCCGCTGTCCGCAGCCGAACGCTGCTTCACCGCAAACAATATTACTACTATTACTTGTATAATTTGTATTATAATTATATGTATTATTATCATAGAACTTCAGTTTTATAAGTAACGCCATACTTATTTAAAATGTTCTATCGTCTATCAAATTCATCACATCATCAGCCACAGATGCTCACTGTTGAGCTCAAGCCTTTTCTTACAGGGTATGAGCTGTAATCACCACACGTGCTCACGGCGGATTGGCGATTTTTACAAAACTTAAACGTACCTCTAATTTTTTTGATTATATTATAGTTCCTCCAGCTTATCTAGGGCTTTTGTCGCGTAGCTTTTGTATTTAATAACATTATATTCTTTTTAAACAAGTGGAAACTAAGAAGTGTGCTGCATCCTATTGTCATCACCAATTGCTTCTTCTTGAGTTGTAACTGTTCGAAAGAATTACTCGTCTAGTTTCAAGCTACGACAAGAGCTTATAGTCGCGAATAGTAAGCGCGTCACCCCCATGTCAAACAAAACAAAAAGTAAGCCGTTATGTCTGAACAAAAACAATGTAAAAAAACATGGTAACAACTTGACAAGTATGAAATATTATTTTTTGTAAAAAATATAATATTCTATTCATAGCCTATAATATTTAATTTTAGCTCAGCAAAATTCTACTCTACCCATCTAAATCTAAAATACAAATTCATAATTCCAAGTATTCATTCATTTAGTTAATAATAACAGACTCTTGAATAATAATAAAAAGTACATATGAAAATCAAATTACAAATTATATACTGTTCCACAGCTAACGAACATATAAACAAACAGACATATCATGTTTTATGACTGAGAAATTTCAAAATTATCTTCAAGAGCCAACCGCTACAATTTATGTTCTATTATCTAAATTCCAAAGTCTAATTTTAATTGGACATTGTGGAAATATTTTGGCGCTGCCACCTGGAATATCTGCCTTAATTCCGTTAGGTTTGGGTTGAAATTTTGATAGCAACGTTTTGTCATTCCATAAATTGGAATCTGATTAGGAGAGACCGGATTTTCGGACGTGTGGTTTCTATGGTGGAGTCCAATCTGAAATTGTTTATTGTTATGGTTAGTTTGTGGCTGGTATTAGGCGTTTTGCTGGCGTAGGATACGGAAAACGTAAGCCTAACTTTATTGCCCTGGATTTTAGTATCGAAGTTAACGGCGGGAAAGGCCTATGATTTAAACGCTAATGTTACCTTTGCTACTGTAGTAGATACCAGCAGTGTGATAATCAAAAAAATCACTTTTAGAATATTTTTTGTGAAGGGAAATGCATCAAATGACTTCTCCCGCCCAGGGCCGGGTGAGAGGGAGTGTCAGACTCTTAATGACTAAAAACCCCTCTGTTCCTTCTCCTGCTCTGGGCCGAGGTCGCGGTGCCTCATTGCGCTTACCCCGCAACTCCGGCTGAACATCAGCCCTATAGGGCCCTGTCTGTGGTGGTCTATTGGCTCTTTGAGGCGCGCGCGGAACGCTACGCACCGTACGCTCGGGCCTGGTTCTGGTCGGGCGGCGAGCTGCTCTTACTCGCCGACCGCAGACCCGCGCTTACGGTGGCCGGAGATCATCTCTCGAATGGCTTTCTCTGCATAGGCACTGGCATACTATGAAGGAAAATATTGTGCGGAGACCTGGACCTAAAATTTCAAATATGATGGTTCGGTTTTCGCCGGTAAAGCTACCAAGGACACAGTAAAGGACAGTCAAAATAGTTGATAATTCTCCTCGTGGGATCTAAGGGGTCTAATTTGATTAAGATGTTAATGGACCACGTTCGACCCCATCCACTGGCCGTAGCTACATCACCAATTTCAATAGTTGTCAAATCTAATCAATTTGATGACTGTCATTTAATGTGATGAATTTCTTTTATTGAAGCTATAGGAATCGATTATTTTGTAATTAAGGCAAGGTAAGGCTAGTGATTAATTATTTTTCCAGTAGTATTTTGTTCATCACATTTTACCGTTTCCAAGATCAGACAGCGATATGGGGTATTGTCCAATACTATTTAGCAATCACTCTTACACGTCATGGTAGCCCAGAGATTAAGACAAGTGCTAATCTGACTTTTTTCTGAGTTATATGTTATTACTTTCTATGATTATTTAGAAGCCTGGACTTATAGTTTCTAATTATAAGTTTGAAATCGCCAATCCGCCTTGAGCAAGCGTGGTAAGTATTGCTCAAAGCGTCTCCGAGTGAGAAAAGGCTTTTGCTCAGCAGTTGGCAGTTATAAGCTGATGATGAATCACTCCTATAACCATTTTAAAACATTTTCCTTCAAACTCAATAAATTTTAAACAAAATTATTCACACAAATGAGTACAATGGCTTATTAAAAGCCCCTCACACCTATTTATGACGCGTGTCTTAAACGTAGGTACATCACAGAATATATTTTCAAAAATCCTCATGTTCTTAATTGATTAATCAGGTTGAATGAGCAAGAAACGGTTTCATAGGCACTGAAAAAGGTCAAGGAGCAGTGTTCTACATAAGTGGTACAAAGGCACATCAAGCTTTCCAACACCAGTATTAAAAGACTGGTGAATGTAAGGAGAGATTATACTAAGCGAGTTCGTAATAAAATGGTTTATATAGCTTGAGGTGCAGCCGTTGTCTTCTACGTAGAGGGGAGTATTATCGGTTATTATTACATTAAGTACATGAGAATCAAAGTGCTTATTATAGTAAGAGTATCTTTATGGGACTTACATATGTCTTCTTCCTTTATTAAGAAATAGCTAATCCCGCGAGCTTTCACTCGCTGCTCGGCTCCATTTGATCGTAGCGTGATGTTTTATAGCTTAGCACTCAGGATCATTGTAGCTATATATCAGTGATAGAATTTTGGCAATCCGACCAGCGGTTCCAAAGATTACCCCCTACATACAAACTTACCTCTTTATAATATAAGTACCTATACCTATGTATAGATTGTGATTGAATTCTGTTTTTGAATATAATATTATGTATATTTATGTTATTATTCCCTACCTATTTTTTTTTAAATAAAATGACGACGTGTTAAATTATTTTTGTTTACAAAAATATAAAGACTATAGTTTCATTGCTTAAAAATAAAATTAGCACGATCACTTGTAGCCCCGCTTAGTCTTTTTGGTAGCGAAAGTGTTACTGGCCATTGCCCAGTTTCTCAATATTTAAAAACCACTTGTATCGCCTCTGATGTAACGGGCTGTATACTGGTTTGCCACTTAATATACTTTATATAATATAACATTAGAGATCTAATATACATTGATCTTTGATCGGGTTTTTCTGTATGTTGATAATATTTAATTACTAAGTTTGTTATAGGCAATGGGATTCTGATTCAGTACGAAAAAATAAATAAGGAGGTACTATAGGAAAACTAACTTCTCCCTATATCTAAGCGCGATTCTATTCATTACCCAACGAACCACAAAGAGTAGTGCTGAGTTCCCTACCCCACAGACCAGAGATAAAGCCTTTGATGGTTCCCTAATTAGCATACTCCTGCCCATCTCTTGCATCAGAGCCTTCAATATGAAGTTCATTAAAATAAGTTGCCATCTCATTATATTTCGTCGTCCGCGCCTGAAAATTTAATTATGCGTCAGTCTCGCATCTTTTCTAGATGTTCTAGGTTTTATGTAGATAAAAAAGCAAGCAAAAATATTGTGTGCACTAACTAGCTTTGCTTATAATATCTTATAAAAAGAAAACTGAAGATTTACTCAGTTTTATTTTACCTAAGTTCAAGTAAGTACCTACCACTTTTGTCCCCAAAATATTCCCTCTAACCTCAATTCTCCAAATGCTCAAATCTCTGACCGCTATAACACCAGCAACGCACTTGCAAATTCTTCTGGCGTTACAGGTCCATGGCCGTTGCTATTTGCTTTCCATCAGGTGATCCTGATTAGAGATTGGGGGAGGGGAAGGATTGGGCCACTGGTAACCTCACTCACACGGCGAAATACAACGCTGTTGTTGTTTTTCGCCGGTTTTCTGCAAGGCTTAACACTCCGGTCGAGCCGACCCATTCGTGCCGAATTATGGCTCTTCCACACCTAATTACTAACTATGAAATATAAAACATTATAAAACCTACCACTTCACGAAATTAAACTGGCCAGTATATAAGCTGTTACTAAAGTCCGAGCTCCGGAATGAATCCGAAATTTCAGTGATTTTCAGACAAACTTCAGCAAAGTTTGGGGTGCTAACTAATTATCGCTTTCCTTCACATCGCCTTTGCTAAAAAGAGACGGTGATATTGCATTTGAAGTTAGTTCCGGAAACTAGAATTTGATACTTTATTAATTAGGCCTTTGAGTCGCAGTCAGCTTAAGACTGGATGCAGTTAAGGCAATTTTCTGCTTTTTGAACATTCTAGTTATTCCATTTTATGTTTAATAGTAGCTTGTTTCACTAGTCGAATGTATGCAAAGTACAGCTGCAAAACATAGTGTATTGAGTTCAATTACAGTGTCAATAAAATGTAGTTATAGTTCCACGAAAGAGTAAAGTTACCGGAGATCAAAATCTCCTAATCTCTCCATGGCCAATCCTTAATTTTCAAAATCCTAACATTAAAATACCGACAACGTTATTCCTTTTGAATTGCGAGTAG